AAATATCTCTGCAACCATTATATGTATGAAGATGAAACTTTCACAAGATGTGTAAGTATTAGTCATAATTCATATCCTAAAATTTCAGCTTGATCCGTCTGGCGCAAAAAAAGTCGATTTTTAACCTCTCTCAATATGGTATGATTTTATCGAAAATGACGCCCAATCCGAGATCCGAGACTCGCCGAGCCTACTTAGAATATAATCTTTGGTAAAAAAATGGTAAATGTCTAACGATGCTTGTCGATTTTATTGCAGATTTTTTCAAGCGTTTCTATTGGTGAAATTTAACTAATCAAGATAATAAATGAGTATATATGCATCGACATATATTTATCGACTCGGTCAAGTCGATGGATTTTATTCATGCATTTCCCAGTGTGATTTTAGCAGTGGACCTTGACTTTGGTACGATGCTTCAATAATTTAGAATATAAAATCAATTATCGATAACCCTATTTGTTTGAAAAGGGTGTGGGTGTGGGTGTGGGCGTCTGTAGACATGGGGTGTGGGTACTCGTATAAACCAGGCACCGACGCAACCACACCCACATCGACACACCCACACCCTTCATTTGCTTCGAACCTTAACTCTCTGTGAGCTTTAAAAAATTGTCTAAAGTACGTGAAGAAGTGCTCTCATGTGGGTGTGGGGTGTGGGTGTAAATGAATAAAAGCTCCACATTCACACACACATCCTTCAAGGAGGCATCTTGAGACAAGCGGTATTTACTCAAGTATGTATTGAATTATAATGATCTAACTGACGGACAAGGTTTATCTAAAACAAAGATGACTAATTCGCAAGAAACCTTCGCTGAAATGGCATCATTATTTCGGAAAAATCATTGGAACATTTCTTTATCGACGATGATGAATATCTTGTTTAAAGTTCTATGGATCATATCCATCAATAGATGTGAACATGAAAGAAGCTTTTCATTATCAAGGAAAATCTGAATTCATCTTCGAAATATAACAGGACAAGATCGTATGTCAAGACTTCAATTGCTGAACATTGAAAGTGGATTTTAAATTGCGTAGTAATAATGAAATTATAAAAGAATACTTAACCGCAAAGAATAAAAAGACGAAAATATTTTAGTTAGAATTGATGAATAGTTTTTTATAATGAATTTGTAGTGACCTTTTGTTCATTCAAAAGATACAAAAAACAAGACTTAAAACTTCGTTTTTTTTCAGTACTGGTGCTTTGTGAGATCTATTGCTACATTGAAAAAAGACTCTAACCTGTCATTCGTATATAAACACTTTCGCGTAGCCTGCATACAACATCTCAAAATCGAGAGAACGTCATCGATTTGACAAATACAATGCCCTAAGCAACACCTTTTTTTCTCTTTGCTATCTCACTTTTTTTTCTTTTTATATTCTGACCTTTCTGTTCTCTTCGTTGTCTGACCTTTTAGTTGAATTGATCTTTAGTTGAAATAATCTGTTTCTACAGTCGAATGATGATAGAGTTTCATACATTGTATGTGCCTTTTCTTCATGGTAGCTTCCATTTATTAATTCCAATGCCAGACTGTTCAGAAGAAAATTCTCCAATGGATAAGAAACGTTTTTCAACATTCATGAATAGAAAATTTATTGGAATATTTGCTTTAGCGATTATAATCACAATATTTATTGGTGGTGTGATTGTATTAACAGTCATTATCGCTAAAATTGCAGTAAGATCAGATAAAAAATTATCGATGTCCCGAAAAGTTTTGTTTATAATCGTTGATGGTATTCCTGCAGATATTATAGAAAATATATCAATTCCAAACATGAAAAAGATTCAAGAACTCGGAAGTTTTACAAGAGCTTATGTTGGTGGTGAAAATGGTACTTATTCACAAACACCTGCTATTTCAGCACCTGGTTACATGAATCTACTCACTGGTACGTGGGCTAACAAACATAATGTGTATGACAATGATATAGAATATCCGAATTATCATTACAAAAATATTTTTCGACTTCTTAAAGAACAATATTCTGATAAAAAGATTGCCATTTTCTCAACGTGGACAGATAATCGTATCAAACTTATTGGCGATGGAGTAGCCATCGCAGGCAATATTACATTTGATTACAAATTCGATGGATACGAATTCGATAATATTACTTATCCTCATGATCTACATGACCATTATATATTTGATATCGATGAACGTGTGACAAATGAAACTTTCGCATGTATCAAAATATATGGGCCTGATCTTTCATGGGTTTATTTGCAATATACGGATGATGTAGCGCATCAGTTTGGAGACAGTGAACAATTCAACCAAGCAGTCAAGAATGCTGACCATCAAATAGGGCGAATTTGGGAAGCTATCAATTATCGAATGAAACATAATCAAGAAGATTGGTTATTCATTATTACAACAGATCATGGCAGAGATTCTATAACAGGCAAAGAACATGACTATCAGTCCGATAGAGAACGAACAACTTGGATAATAACAAATAGTCAACAAATGAATAGTTATTTTCATGATTTTGAACCGGCCATAGTTGATATATATCCAACAATTGCAAGATGGATCGATCTCAATATTCCGATTGAATCTGAACGAGAATTAGATGGAGTACCATTGATAGGCAAAGTCTCATTAATAAAACCGAATATCAAATTACATAATGCTAGTTTAAACATTAGTTGGACAGTTTTAGATCCTGTAGGAATTGTAAAAGTGTGGTTATCAACTACAAATGTATTTAAAGATGGTATGACAGACAATTATTATTTAGTTAGAGCAGTACCCATAAACGAAAAAGTGATTATCGTTGATATACAAAAATATCCATCAAGTTTCTATAAAGTAGTTCTGGAAGAACAATATAATACAATGAATAGATGGATTTTTCGATCATGAAGTTGTACGAATAGTATATATTAATAATAAAATTACAATATATCAAATCGGTATTCGAAATTAGAAGAAGATGATATCGAGAACTATCATAAATAAACCTGTAGATAAAAATATTCCTGGAAAAATGGATGCGATTGATAGTGCGATAGTGTGTATGTACCTGTTAGCCATGTTCACACTATATCGAAAGCAACAGATCGATACATTTGAACTTACCAAACGTGTGAGGTCACATTCAGACTGTCTACTTTTCAGACCATGACTTCAATAGTCGAGCATTTGACTTCGTGATTTAACAATAATGTTGGTTATGAAGCTTTGACGTTTAACCTTTAAAAATGATAAATGTGGTCTCACAAGTCAGGTAAGTTCAGATATATCGGCAATTGCTTTTGATGGATCTTCTTTTCTTCCTCAAATATTCATTTGCTTGGGAAGATTTGGCTGAGAGTGGATCTCTCGAAAAGATTTGTTTTTTTTTGTTTTATCATCGAAGACTTTTATGACAAAATGGCTGAAAGTGACATTCTATGGTTACAGATTCTTACGCTCTATCGATTGATATTAGCCAAAAAATCAAATGATATCGAGAATCAGTACTTTCGTGAACGGAAATGGGTCAGAAACACTAAAATAGTTACATACATATAATTTCATATTTCCAATATATTTCGATAATTTATTCATTTTTCTTAGAAATCGAAATTAATAAATATAATCATTATAAGAAACAAAACATTTCTTCATTCTAGATTTTCACACGTCATTAACAATGGATAATATAGTGTCTGATTTGTTGAGGATATGGATGTGGACGTGAGTATGTTTGTGAATATGGACGTGTTTCTTCTTCTAAAGCCAATTCATCTTGGGCGAAATGGCCTTGTCTGTGTAGAGTTTGGCAAGTTCATTTTGAATACCTTTAACATTTTGAATGAGCTGTTTCGTCGAAAAGAAGACATTGCCAAGTGCAAGACGATTACTCATTGTTCGAGTAATATTGACTTGCCGAATGAGTTCAGTTACTGCCCATGGACCAGTAGCCTGATTCATTCTGTAGGCTGCATTACCTGCATAGATATGACGACCTTTGGTCGATTGTCCTACCCACCAGTTCAGTAAAGCACTGTAGGATTGCGCAGGTGGATCAATTGCCCAGTAGAGTTGTGGCGTTAAATAATCAACAAAACCTTTTTGTAACCATAAACGACTGTCACAGTAGAGACTATCGTACGAGGAAAGACCAGTAATACCTGCTGGTGTACCGGTTTTCCAAATGCCAAAGGGTGATACACCAAATTTAGCTTTAGGTCGAATAGCATGTGTGTGATTGTATAGGGATTCAATTAGAAAATTGACATTCGATCGACGCCAATCGGCCTTATTCATTGTTCCACCTTGTCGTTGATAATCACTGAAGGTAGCTGAATCAGGAAACTCGGTACCATCACTGTACGGATAGAAATAATCATCAATATGCAGACCATCGACAGGATATCGACGAACGATATCTTCGGCAACACTGAGAACAAATTGTTGAACGTCTTTTGATCCTGGATCCATCCAGAGTTGATTGTCATACGTGTAGGCATACTTTGAAAATCTTTTAGCCATATTTGTCGCAGCCGGAGTATACGTTGCACCTTTCATTCGAGCACGATATGGATTGATCCAAGCGTGCACTTCAATATTGCGCTTATGTGCCTCGGTCAGAATGAATTGGAGAGGATCCCATATAGGTGATGGTGCAACACCATGCGTACCGGTCAAGTATAAACTCCACGGCTCGAGTGTCGACGAATAGAGAGCGTCGCCCGCAGGTCGAACCTATCACCGTTTTATAATAATTTCAGTTAAATAAGTATGTTGACTATAGCTCACCTGAAAAATGACAGCATTCATGTTGAGTCGTTGGACCATATTCAGAATATTGATAAGTTCATTCTGCTGAGTGGCCGGTGTGGCTGTTTTCGACGAAGGCCAATCAATATTGCTCGCAGTAGCAATCCAAATGGCTCGAAATTCTTGTCTTTGTGCTTGATTGATGGAAAAACAACATTTAATGTTGACCGGTTTGGATTCACAATAACCGGATATATACAATGCATTCGGACATTGACTGATATCAATACACTGACCAATACCATACTGTGGATGGTTGTAAGTGTTACACGAATCTGCTCGGGGTTGTATCGAAAACGAAGTTGACAAATTCAACGAACAACATACAGCGGCAATAATTAGTAGGAGAATCATGTTTCAAATCAATCTACTCTAAAATAAAGTGTTCTGATTTCAAGAGTGAGAAATCACTGATATTTTCAAATAAAATCCTTACGCAAATATTTTGATAGTAAAATAGAGAAACCTACACTCACTATTTAGAAATATAATCCCTACAAGATTCAAGTGAGAAATATGATTTCATGAATGGTTAAATCCTATTGCTAATCGAATTAATGTCCATCAAAATTGGTTCGTTCTATTCAGAAAATTTTGGCTTTTAGCACGCATCTTTTTTATTTTGTTTTATGAAAAGACAACGATTTACTATTGAGACTAAATTCAGACATTTTATTAGTAAAATACAACAGGGTATACTTTCTTTGTTTCTCTCCTATAGTCTATGCACTACTTAATGTTAGAAATGTTTGTTGTGCTCTCGTTCGAACTCTTTAAAGTGGATCTCACTGAATTTAATCATGAAATGGAACTATTTTTAGCATTTCTGTAGAACTTACGATGAAAATTGTAGGCGTAAGTCTGTATCGGAAAATTTTCTGCTTCTCTCTCTCGTACCCCGATATCTCAATATGCCTATGGAGACACGATAAGAAATACTGAAAGGTATATCTATTCAACGAAAGAGATTCTGTCCTAACACGAAGCGGCAAGAATCACTCTTTCAACTCGTAAATGTGTGTGAAGATTTGGTAGAATGGTTCGATGCTGAGCGATTAGCGGAATATTTGGGAACGAGAAAACAAAACAAAACAGAAAATGACTAACACAAAGAAAATACCCGTGTAGCCGAACACGAAAATAATGGATGCAATTACATTATAATGCAAGAAATAGATTGTATTATAATGTAATTGCATTCATTATTTGCGTGATTGGATACATTGGTAACGGATGAGAATGATGGGTAGCAACATAGTAGCGATAGAATTCAAAAGAAGAGTGTCTAGACGATTGAAGAATGCAGAATATGTCTGAAATGAATAGTTAGAAGAACACGCGTTAGTCTCAACCTATTCTTGTTTTCTAAACAGGCTGCTGTAGCTTCAAAATTCGTTGTTATCTTTAAGTGCCACGACATGAAAGCCATATCCTATAGCACGCAATCGAAAAGTTCTGATTTCTACAGGGTGAGTGTGGGTGTGAGTCTTTAATGAAATGACACACCCACACCCACACCCATAAATTTTTAGTAGCCGTCATCTTCGTGACGTGATTTATTCACCTTCGGAATGGTTTGTCTACTGAAGAATATTATCAAAAGTTATACATTGAACTTATTTTGAAGATAATGAACTAGCATCTTCAGAAAATTATCTTCAACCTATATTGTAATGTTGTTCAATTGGAATAATTTCCTGGATCTAGATCGATCAACCGAAAAGAATTTAAAGATGCTCACATAAATTCGCCATAATCGTCATTAATCATCAGTATCATATGCAGTATAGGTCTTATAATCATTATCATCATGATCATTTAGCTCTTTTTCTATCTCTTCAACATAAATATCAACCTTGTTAAATATTGTCTCATATTGTTTGAGCGCTTATTGCATTCATATACTGAAAAAAAGGGTTTATAAGCACAGCAAACAGTACAAGAGTATATGAATTTGCAACGTATAATAAATCCTTACCAAGGTTTACGAAAAAAAAGGTTTATGAAAGGGTAGATTACGCTCATAAACCTAAAAGGGGTTTATGTCGTGATCATAAACGGATAGTGAGGATTTATTACACTACGCCTATTTTTTACAGTAATCAGTTTGCTCACTTCAGTTAAAATACACTTGATGTTTCTATCACGCATATGTTTTCATATTGATCCAGGCTGACGTTATGCGATTCAATGTACTAACTCTTTCTAAAGAGTGAAGAAAGAAAACAAAGTCTATGCTCACACTCATACCCAAACCACTCCTACACCTCACGCCCACACAGCAGCATCCAACGAGTACTCTTCGATCACGTTTTCTGTAGGCAAGAAAACTTCAAAGGTGAATAAATCATGCCACGAAGATGAAAACTACTAAAAAACTTATAGTAAGCAATATATGTTAGGTGCTAAGATTGTGAGAAAATGTTGTGAGTAGCCTTCAGAACTTTAAAACCCATGGTGTGTCCACGAAGAAAAGCGACTGGAATTTTTCATTGATTTTGTAAAAAGATCAAGCAATGTCGATTCTAGATAGTACGAAAAGTTCGGGCTACTTTTCTCTTTCTATTTTAAAGTTATTCAAGAAATACTCACGGCCATTTAACTCGGACAATAATCGGAAAAGATGCATCAAAGTTTGCCATTATTAAATGACAATATCATATTTGTATCATTAGTAATATTATTAATAAGATTTATTATTTCAATTAAATGTTTAATTAATATAGTATTTAATATGAATAGAAAAATTATTCAATTCATTTACATGTTTATTTTTATTAACAATAATTATTTTGATAATATGCATTGTCATTTAAAACTCTTCATCAAATTATTTTCATCTTTTTCATTTATTTGTTCATGAGAATTCGATGAAATTTCATCAATATTATGTGTTATATTTTTATAAATTCTTTTTTATTGAATTTTTATCTGATATTAGGAAGAAGAAAAAGTTTTTCCTACTTGCAGTTTTTCTTAATAATATTAAAGTAAAATGAATTTTGTTTTAGGTATCTACATAGAATTGACTTCAAATAGAATTCTCTATTTTGATGAAAATGATCAAAATCAAATAATCGTAAGCCAATACTATTTAA